GAAAAAATATATCCTCCATTTTGTCGAAGTCGTCAAACCCTAAACCCTAAACCCTAAACCCTAAACCCTAAGCGCTGGGCCCCAGACCCAGGGCGCGTGCATGGCTTCCTGTTGAGACAAAATGTAGAGAAAAAGCATAAACCCTGAAATCTTAAACCCTAGGCTCTAAATCCTAAACCCTAAACCCTAAACCCTAAACCCTACTGCATGCAAACTCTACACAAACCTCGAGAGCGAGAGCAACTGCAGCCCCTGAGCCCCAAACCCAAAACCCTAAACCCTAAACTAGGGTTTGGGGTTACCCGTTAGCACTAAATCCTTAATTAAAAACAAAAAGAGGAATCTGTTATTTTTGCTTCTTCTGACTGCTTTTAACTGGCCGCAGTCTAGGGCCTAGGGTTTAGGGTTCAGGGTCCACGCTTGAGGGTTTAGGGTTTAGGGTTTAGGTGTTTCCACACCACATTTCCCTCAAAGGGTTTATTTTGCTGTCATAAATCCTACTCCAGCTGACCTAGCAAACCCGAATCCCTAAACCCTTGAACACCAGACCCTAAACCCTAAACCCTCGCGCACCAGACCCTAAACCCTAAACCCTTGAGCACCGGCTCAAACCGCAAACCCTAAACCCTAAACTCGTCATGCAAGTGGCGTTTCAAAAGCTCTGATATCTTTTGTCTCTCCCGCTGCAGCTCTGCCGCTGCAGCTCTGCCGCTGCAGCTGAGCCTCCATACCCTAAACCCTAAACCCCCAGCCCCCCACGGCGCAGCGACAGCATGCAAACCCTAAACCCTAAGCCCTAAACCCGCAGGGTTTAGCCGCCATGAAGACCTGCCCTGAAGCCGCTTCAGCGCAGCAGCAGCAACAGGGGAGCCACAGTTCTGCTGCTGCTGCGCCCGTTGCTGCTGCACCTACTGCTGCTGCTGCTGCTGGCAGCAATTTAGAAGCAGCAGCAGCGGCAAAAACAACAGCGGCAGCAGCAGCACGTCCGGTAGAACCAAAGGCAGCAACAGCAGCAGCAACAGCAGCGGCAACTGCAGCAGCAGAAACAGCAGCAACAACAGGTAGAACTGCGCCAAATAGAAAGGCAACAGCAGCAGCAAATGCTGCGAAACCAGCAGCAGAAGCAGTAGCAGCGAATGTTGCAAAGCCAGCAGCAGCAACAGCAGCAGCAAATGCTGCGAAACCAGCAGCAGCACCAGCAGCAGCACCAGCAGCAGCACCAGCAGCAGCAGCAGCAACTTACAAAACCGCTGTTGCTAACTTTTCTCCCTTCTTTTTTGAATTTTCAGAAATCCCGAAAGTCTGCAGCGAACAATTTGCGCTGTACATACAGCCCAAGTCTGCTGCTGCTGCAGCAGCAGCAACAGCAGCAAGGGGAGCCGCAAATGCAGCAGCAGGTGCAGCAGCAGCAGGTGCTGCGCCACCGACAGATGGGGAGAGGGACTGCTGCGCTGCTGCTGCTTGCAGCAGTCTTTGGGCGGCAGCTCTTGAATTTTGCTTCAGCCGAGCAGCAGCAGCAGCAGCTGCTGCTGCTGCTGCTGCACCAGCAGCACCTGCAGCAGCAGCAGCTGCCGCAGAAGTAGCAGCAGCAGCGGCGGCCGCAGCCATTGATATGATCGGCAGTAACGGCCTGCATGCAGCATCAGCACCTGCTGGTGCTGCACTTGCTGCTACTGCTGCGCCTGCTGCTGCTGCTGCACCTGCTGCTGCTGCTGCTGCTGCTGCTGCTGTGGACGCCGATTGGGTCTCTTCTTTCTTGTCCCTTTCTTTCCTCCAAAGTATCGCCAGACACAAACCGGAGCTTCTCTTCAGCGCAGAATTTGCTGCTGCGCCTGCTGCTGCTGCTGCTGCTGCAGGCAATGCTGCTGCTGCTGAGGTGGAGGCAGCAGCAGCAGACTGCTCACAGCAGCATACGCAGCAGGAGCGACAGCAGCAGCTGTGCCCGCGAGAAGCCACAGCACCACAAAGGGCAGCAGCAGCAGAACCAGCAGCAGCAGGATCAGCGGCAACAATCAGCAGCAGCCTGCAGCAGCAGCAACTGCTGCAGTTTGTGCTGCTGCAGCTGCAGTCGCTCCGCAGCAGCAGCAGCAGGGCAGGAATGCGAACTGTAGCTGCGCTTTGCCGAGGCTTGCTGGTGCTATACCAGCAGCAGCAGCAGCAGCAACAGCAGCAGCAGCAGCAGCAACAGCAGCAGCAGGAACAGCAGCAGCAACAGCAGCAACAACAACAGCAGCAGCAGCAGCAGCAGCAAATATGTGCTTGCCTAGCTTTGATGCTGCACTATTTTGTTCCCCCTTTGCTGCTGAGAGCAGCAGCAGAGAAACGCTTTCTTGCTGCTGAGGCTGACGAAGCAATTAAACAATTGGCGCACTTGGGTAAGCTGCTGCTGCTGCTGCTGCTGCTGTTATTCGTGGTGGCGGTTTTGCTGCTAGTGCTGCTGCTGCTGTTTGCGACGATGCAGCTGCTGCAGCTGTAGCTCTCTAGGTTGCTGCTGCTGCAGCTCTTTGCTGCTGCTGCTGCTGCTGTAGCTGCTATCTGCTCGTGTTGCCGCCTTTGAGGCTCACGCTGCTGCTGCTGCTGCTCCTGCTATTTTTCTGCCTGTAATTCTCGAGTTTGCTGCTTTTCGCGTGTCTGTTGCTGCTGCAGCTGTTGCTGTGCCTTGGCTGATTCCGCTGCTGCTGCAGCTGCTGCAGCGGCAGCTGCTAGCTGCTCGCACAGCAGCACCTGCAGCAAAGCTGCTGCTGCAGCTGCTGCAGCTCTCATTGGCACGACACCAGCAGCAGCAGCAGCAGCAAGTGCTGCAGCCGCAGCAGCAGCAAGAACACGAGCCACAGAAGAGAGCTGACGAGGATGCTTCTGTTGCTGCTGCTGCAGCTGCCTCCGAGGGCTGCTCAAAGCAGCAGCAGCAGCAGCAGCAGCAGCAGTTTTTGCTGCAGCAAGTTGTGCGTCCCTGTTTGCTGCTGCTGGCCCCTCTCTCAAGGGCGCCGCAGCAGGAAGTAAGAGAAGCTGTGAGAGCAGCAGCAGCAGCAGCATGCAGTTATCCGTGGCGGCTCAGCAGCAGCAGCGGCAACAGCAACAGCAGCAGATGCAGCAGCAGCAGCAGCAGCAGCAGTTCTGCTGAAAATGCAGCAGCAAATGTCGCATGCGGAGATGCTGCTGCTGCTGCTGCTGCGGTGCAAGCTGCGGAAGATCCACCTCGTCTTGCTTTGCTGCTGTCGCAGTTTGCCGAGGCAGCAGCAACAGCAGCAGCAGCAACCCCACCAGCCACAGCAGCAGCTAATGCTGCTACCGCAGCTGGCGGAGATGCAGCAGCAGGTGGCATCGCTGCTGCTGCTGCTGCTGCTGCTCAGCAGCTGCTGCGTGAAGCATGGAGGGCCTCCCAAGGAAGACCCCAAAGGCTACTTCAAAGTGCTGCTGCTGCTGCTGCTGCAGCTGCTGCTGCTGCAGGGAGTGCAGCGAGTCGAGCCTTGTTGCACCAGAAGAGCCAAAGGCGCTCCCCTGCTGGCCAGCAGCAGCAGCAGCAGCAGCAGCAACTGCAGCAGAGGCAGCAACGCCAGCAGCAGCAACAGCAGCAGCAGAGAGAGGTCAGCAAGCAGTCAGATTCGTGTGGGGCTAAAACTGCAGCACCAGCAACAGCAGCAGCAGCACCGGCACCAGCTGCAGCAGTAACAACAGCTGCAGCAGTTACAGCTGCTGCAGCAGCAGCAACTGCAGTAGCAGCAACTGCAGCAGCAGCAACTGCAGCAGGAGCAACTGCAGCAGCAGCAACTGCAGCAGCAACTGCAGTTACACAAGCTACAGTAGCACCAGCTGCTGCCGCCGAAGCAGCAAAGAGGGACGACGCAGCAACCGAGGAGAGAGAAACCGCAGCACCGCCTCTAGGAGCTCTGAAGCAGCAGCAGCAGCAGCAACAGCAGCAGCAGCAGCAGCAAAAACGGCCCTGCAATCCTGTGGTTGTTTGCTGCCTTCATGAAAACAAACGCTTTAAACAAAACGCAGTCAGCGAGCCCACTCTTCAAGCAGCAAATCCATAAGCAGCAGCAGCAGCAGCAGGTGCAGCTGTTGCTGCAGCATGAGCAGCAACAGCAGCAGTAACACTTGCACTCGGGCAGGCAGCAAGTTTGTCGTGTCTGCAGCAGTTGCTGCTGCTGCAGCATATGCAGCAGAAGCTGCTGCTGTTGCTGTGGCCACGGCCATGCACATGCAGAAGCAGCTGCTACTGCAGCAGCTGCTGCTGCAGCTGCACATGCAGCAGCAGCTGCTACTGCAGCAGCTGCAACAGCAGCAACAGCAGCAGCAACAACAGCAGCAGCAACGGATTCATTTTTTGTTTTGTTATTTGTGTCGCTTCACTAGAGTTTATTTGATGCTTAACATCCGGCGCTGCAGCACCCAGAACACCCGAAACCCTAAACCCTAAACCCTAAACCCTAAATTGTCAAACCCTAAACCCTTATACTCTCAACGCTTTTCTATTGAGCTGAGTGCCCTGTAGAACCAAGAGGACCTTGCCGATGGTTTAGGGTTTAGGGTTTAGGGTTTGGCAAGTAGCGGCTAGGGTTTAGGGTTTAGGGTTTGGCAACTAGCGGCTAGCGTATAGGGTCCAGGACTAGGGTTTAGGGTTTAGGGTTTAGGGTTTGTTGAAAAAGAACTTGAGAAGAAACAATGTGGTTTTTTCTTTTCTCCCATCACTTAACAGTATTTATTTTACAGTTATTATTTGCTCAAGTTACTTACTTGTTTATTTATTTTTGTTTATTTATTTTTATTTATTTATTTATTATTTATTTTCTATTATTTATTTATTTATTTATTTTCTATTATTTATTTGTCTATTTATTTGTCAGTTTATTCACTTACTCATTCACTTGCTTTTCCAATGCTCAGGGTTTAGGGTTTAGGTTTTAGGAGGGTTTAGGGTTTAGGGTTTAGAATTTCGGGTTTAGAATTTAGGGTTTAGGGTTTAGGGTTCAGGGTTTAGGACGGTTACAGCATTGCGGCGAGTCGGAAAGACCACGAAAGCCCCAACCCCCGCAGCAAAAGAAGCAAACAGATAAATAAATAAATAAATAATAAATAAATTAAAAAATAAATAATAAATAAATAAATAAATAAATAAATAAATAAATTAAATTTATTCCTCGAGGTCAAAAGACAGCCGGGCGAGGGCCTCCGCCAAAGGGTTTCGGGTGTATAGACACCCGCAGCAAAAGAGAGCGCGTTCAAACAATTTGCTGCTGAAGAATCGCTGCAGCACAATCTGCTGCTGCTGCTGCTGCTGTTGCTGCTGTTGCTGTTGCTGCTGCTGCTGTTGCTGCTGCTGCTGCTGCTGTTGCTGCTGCCGCTGTTGCTGCTGCTGCGGTTGCTGGTGCTGCGGCTGCTGCTGCTGCTGCTCTGGTTGCTGCTGCTGCTGCAGCAGCAGCTGCTCTTCTGCTGCTGCAGCAACAAACTCCT